TAGGAAGAAAACCTTTTAATTGCCATTTGACGGAGCTGTGAGTGGCTGGCACAGACACCATGGCATAGAGAGCGCAGTGGGTCAGGAAGTCTGAGGGACGGAGGCAAAGGATGAGGAATATGAGGTAATAGGAGGAAGAGGGAGGAAGGAGACGGAGAAACATGACCCAGGCAAAACAACACAAAGTGCTGCCAAACCATTCGAAGGGTTTCTAATCTAAAGCCTCTTCTTCACCCATCCGTGGCCGGATCACATGTCCAAGAAGTGTTTTGTTCTACATTCTACATCTGCAGCCTCAATTTTACTAAAATCACCAAAAACTGGAAAAACTTTAATTACTATAAAGCATTTTCTAGATAGATGAGGATCTGTGACAACGGGCTTTTGTTAAAATCAGACAGGATTTGCATTCCCATACAGGTTTATAGGAATGCAAAATCCACTTGATGCAGGTCAACTGCAGGTCATATGCACCCGTCAATGAGTTCTGAAGGATCTCAAACTGGACGCCACGGACAGGAGACCAAAGCCCATCGACACCTAAAGCAGAATCCCAGGATGTAGGATAAGCAAGCAATCCAGGTCCCGCTGCCCAATGTCCAGTCCAGTCCTGTCCAGTCCAGTCCTGTCCAGTCCAGTCCAACGTTTGCTATTTATTAACATTTTAACATCAAAGAAAAAGTCCAGATTTGGTGAGAACTGATCCATGTGGAGGTACCTTGAAGGGCAGCTCCAAAACAAATAGGTAAAAAGCACAGGCAAGGCACATGTAATAGGGCCACCGCATGATCTATACGACGGGTCCTCTTATACTGCTGTACTATAAAGCTGCATAAAATCAGAGGCGGCGATGACAATTCTGAAGGCTTGGTGCCACTGTCCCGCCTACTCTACAGATTACCAGCGTATATCACCATACCTGGGGACTTTCACCCGGCGGCTCTCCTGCACATTTAAATATAGGGATGCAACGGGATACCGGTGCTTCCGCTGCCATGGAGCATGCTTCCCGGGCAACCTGATTGCCCTAGATGCTGGCTCCATGTTGTCTAACCTGCTTGATTGAGCTTGGCCGGCAAACCAACTTCACAGCCAATCAGCATTGAGCCGGCTTCCCGGGCCAATCAGGAAGCCAGGAGGTGAGCAATGACCTTCCTCCAAACCTCCTGATTGGCCGGGAAGCCGGCTTTCCAGCCAATCAGCTTTGAGCCGGCTGTTCGACCAGCTTGATGCTGATTGGCCAGGAAGCCGACTTCCCGGCCAATCAGGAAGCTGGCCTTGGGGCAGTAGAGAGAGTAAATCCGGCCCTGTGTATGATTGAATACACAGCAAAGACACATTTCAGCTCATTACATTGAATTCAAGACCTTAAAACTTGGGACAAGTGACTGTAAACTTCGGACCAGACTTGTCTATCCATTCCCCTCTCTCACCTCCTTGATTTTGTCCCGTTTCTCTCGGATCTCAGGGTCCCCAGGGTCTCCGCTCTTCAGCTCAGGGAGGTTGGGGACGGGCGCCAGCGGTAAGGGCGGATTATCTTTCTTCTTCATCTCTTCCATCAGCTTGTTCTTCTCCGTCTGGATCTCGGCCCTGATCTCTGCCCGGGACTTCTTCAGCTTCTCTTTGGCCTCCTGGAGGGCGCGCTCATGGTCCGCGCGGATCTTGTTCCGCAGCTGCTCCTCGTCCTCCCTGCAAGAGAAAACATGTGGATCATTAGAACTCCAATCACCTCGCTGCATATTACCTGGACAGGGGGACAAAACGTTGGGTAACTGCTACCGTCACAAACTCATACAACGTTATATCCTTCATGGAATTCTGTGAAACCTCCACAGAAGGTACAGAAGGCAAGAAGGCTTTTAGCGTTTATGTTCTTGGCCGGTTGTTGCCAACGACAGATTCACCAGCGTGGCACGACCCTTACATCAGTTAGGCACTGCGATACCCATCACAAATTCCCCCAGTCATGTATGTTATGCCGAGGTGTTACCTTGGTTTTTATAACTTGCCATCCACAACTCTGCCCCCTGCTAGATCTCAAACCTGGTCTCAAAGTATCACCCTAACCGTCCCCTCCGCTCTTCCCAAGACCTCCTGCTTTCCAGCTCCCTCGTCAACTCCTCCCATGCTCGCCTCCAGGACTCCTCTCTCCCATCCTCTGGAACTCTTTACCCCAACCTGTCCGTCTGTCTCCCACTCTGACTGCCTTTAGGCGATCCCTTAAGACATCTCTTCAGGGAAGCAGATCCCACCTCAACCTGACCACTGAACCATCACGTTCTCAAAGAATTCATCCCCACACAGCTCCCTCCTCATGTATCACTGGCCCCTCCCTTTTAGATTGGAAGCTCTCACCGGCAAGGCCCTCCTCTTACCATCTTGTATTGAATTGTATTGTGATTGTAATGTTTTCCTTATATTGTACATTGATGCGCAAACTGTTGGCGCCATATAAATCCTGAATAATAATAATAAGTATAAAACATAGATGTGTGAGGCCAGGAAAAGATCAAGTGGCCCATCGAGTCTACTCCTCAGACCCTTGTCTCTCAGTATAGATTTATGTTCATCCCAAACATGTTTAATTGGACTTACTGTTGACCGATTCCCTACTTCTTCCTGAAGTCTCTGCCAAGCATCAATTACGCTTCCAGTAAAACAATACTCTCTAAGGTTAGTCTGAGCTTTCCCCCTGGTCAAGGTCATGTCCCCATGTTCTTAATCTTAGCTTGATATTGAAATCCTGCCCTCCTGAACCATATTCACACTCTTCATGTATTTAAAGGTTTCAATCACGTCTGCCCCTTTTTCTTTGTTCCCATCTCCGGACATGTTCTATTCCTGAGATTGTTCACCAATGGACTCATTTTATCTTACCAATATCTTTATGTAAGAGGCATCTCCAGAACTGGACACAGTATTCTAAATGAGGTCCAGCTAAAGATCTACATAGAGGGATCAGGACCTCCTTCCTCCTGCTGGGGATCCCTTTAGTGATAACTAAAGATCTATATAGAGGGATCAGGACCTCCTTCCTCCTGCTGGAGATCCCTCTAGTGATAGATCTATATAGAGGAATCAGGACCTCCATCCTCCATCCTCCTGCCTCCTTCCTCCTGCTGGGGATCCCTCTAGTGATAATAAAGATCTATATAGAGGGATCAGGACCTCCTTCCTCCTACTGGGGATCCCTCTAGTGATAGATCTATATAGAGGGATCAGGACCTCCTTCCTCCTACTGGGGATCCCTCTAGTGATAGATCTATATAGAGGGATCAGGACCTCCTTCCTCCTACTGGGGATCCCTCTAGTGATAGATCTATATAGAGGGATCAGGACCTCCTTCCTCCTACTGGGGATCCCTCTAGTGATAGATCTATATAGAGGGATCAGGACCTCCTTCCTCCTACTGGGGATCCCTCTAGTGATAGATCTATATAGAGGGATCAGGACCTCCTTCCTCCTGCTGGGACCCCACTAGTGATAGATCTATATAGAGGAATCCGGACCTCCTTCCCCTTACTGATAATAAAGATCTATATAGAGGAATCAGGACCTCCTTCCTCCTGCTGGGGATCCCTCTAGTGATAATAAAGATCTATATAGAGGGATCAGGACCTCCTTCCTCCCATGCATGCAGTGAGTGGGAGTAGGATAGAACTTATGGAAATTCAATATAGAAATACAGATTTATTTTTATACTATAGATTCCCTTTAACATGTTAGACATTAAAACCATTTAAGGAGTTGTGTTGCCCTTGACAACCACACCGCAGGATGATTGTAAAATGTAAACATCTGAGTGGTTGGTTTCCATGCATAGTCAAGCAGCACCGTAAGAGCGATACAAAGACTGAGGACAGGAAAGAAGGACATGCCGCCATTCAACAGATCTATACCAGGGACAGATCTTGGGGGGGGGGTATATAGAGCGTCCTTGGATGGGGAGGAAAATAATCAGTTGAATAATCTTGTCAGAGGAGGTGACAACACTCGGCGATGTGACACGGCAGACACCTATGACAGCAGCCGGAGATCGTGCTGTGATCTTTAATAACCACCTGCGATGCGACGCAGCGGGGGAAGGGGGCATTCAAGCAGCTCGCTAACTGGCGTGAACATAAAAGCAAAGTGCTGTTAATAAAACTATACGGCGCACGTGTCAAATCCAGCTGAAGGCGAGCGCAGAAAAGGCGTTTTTCACTGTCGTACAGCTGCAGATCAGTGCGGGGGGGGGGGGGGCG